ATGTCAGTCTTGCTCTCCCTGCTTTCTTGGTTGCCTCCTCCTCCTCAGGCTGGGAAACCATGTTCTTCTGGTGGGTACCTGAGATGGCTAGTCTAGTCTCAAACACTGAGTGAGGTGCTTTGTGGCCCAGACAGAGCCACAGCATTAATGACTGTACAGCTGAAGTTTACAGGTATTCTGCTGATAGTATGAAAAAAGTTTGCAATATTTTGTGTTCAGTCTTACTGGAATGGCCCTCTGTGCATCATTTGGGAGACCATGAGTGCTGCCACCATGCCTACAATGGAATGCACGATGGATGTCATATATGCACATTTTTTCATGATCCTTCCCCCTCAGAAAAGGAGGAAAGATTTTGTAACTGTAGACAAATCAGTCTGCATAAGAGATGTTGTACACAAAAGGAGCATGTGAACGTTATTGTTCTTAAATGATCCAGGTGTCAGTGAGAACAGTGCTGGAGTTAAAGAGCTGTGGGTTTTTAAAAAGTATTTTTTGATGTGAAGGTACCATAGCTTGTTTTGTCTGTTTATTACCATTGACAAATATGTTTCTTCTGTGGGTGGTTGAATTATGAGGGTAAAATTAAGCACGGGAGGCTGGATTAATGAATCATGACCAAATCACAGCCTGTTCAGTAGCCCTCATCAAAACAGTAACTAAGGGGTCTCTCATAAACAGAGGTACCCTGATCCCTCTCTTAAATGGAGAGTCTTCTCTATAAGTACTAAAGTACATGGATTGTTGTAGCAGGGAAGCATTCAAATAAGCTTTAAGGGGATTATATCCAAGCATATGGTTCTGAAGGTTTAAGAGAAGACGAGGAGGAGTAGGTTTTTATATCCTGCTTTTCTCTTCCCCAAGGAGTCTCAAAACAGCTTACAATCACACTCCCTTCCTCTCCCTATAACAGGCACCTTGTGAGGTAGGTGGGGCTGAGAGTGTTCTGAGAGAACCGTGACTGTCCCAAGGTCACCCAGCAGGCTTCACATGGAGGAGTGGGGAATCAAACTCGGTTGTCCAGAAGAGTCCATGGCTCTTAACCACTACACCAAGACATCATCAGTCTTACAAAAGAAGGAACCACTACGCCATGCTTATATTTCCTTATCTCGAAGAAGGGGTCAGCAGTTTCTGCTGATTATCTCCTCCTGCTGCAGACACCTACTTTGCCCCGAGCTGTTCCCATCCACAAAATATTTGGTTGCTTAGTGGCCTGCAGCGGGGTGGGGGGAAGCAGAAGAGTCCTGTACTGGAAAGTCCACTCCATAAGCAGGTCTTGTTGGATACAAGCCAGTGTGCAAACACCCTAGAGGATTCCACTCCATGGACTGTTTTCCTGCACTACAGCACCCTTCACTTTTACCAACATGGATCACACTATATACACCATGCAACAATGAGTGACCATTTCTTGGATACTTTTAAAAAGTACTTTGGACCTTGTCTTATAGCTAGTGTTGCCAGCTCTGGGTTGGGAAATACCTGGGGATTTGGGGGTGGAGTATAATGCCACGGAGTATGATGCCATGGAGTGCACCTTTCAAAGCAGCCATTTTCTCCAGGTGACCTGATTTATGTTGCCTGGAGATCTCCAGCTGCCACCTGGATATTAGCATGAGTGACATTAACATGGACTGGAATGTGGAAGAAATTCACGTTTAAATTTAAACTCCTTTTTGTATTGGAGAGCCGTTTAAGGAATACTGCTGATACAAAACAACATGTACAGCTACTGTGCATGCCATAGGTTTGCCAGTCCCCAGGCCCTAGTGGGGGTTCCCCCGGTTTTGGGGCTTCAGCCCGCTGCTGGCCAGCGGGGGAAATCCCACTCCAAACAGGAAATCACCTGGAAGTGATGTCATCACATTGAGGACATTGCATGGGACACTCTGGTTTGGTGGCAAACCATAGAGTTTTGCCCTCAAACCAGAGCACCGCTGACACGATGATGTCACTTCTGGGTGACGTCATCATGCCAGGGTTGTTTTGGAATGCCCCCCCATCCCCCCACCAGCGTAGTGAGGGGGACCTGGGCAACCTTAGCATGTCATCCTTCTCTTAAAATGAGTAAGTGCCTAATGCATCTGTCATAATGCAAGTTCTCAGTACAAAGAAGCTAACAGTGCTATCCTAAGCAGTTACTCCTCCTAAATCCATTGAAGTAAATGGGCTTAAAAGGGTCCAACTGCACTTGGGATAGCACTGTAAATGACTTTCAGAAGCACATCAGTGGCTTAGCTAGATGAGAGCAGCTGGGACCTATCCTTTGCCTAGGCCCTAGGTTGTGCATATGTCAATAGGCTGATTTATGCATGTGTGCATGTATTTTCAGTCACTTCAAGGCTGTGCCATAGTTGTAGTAGTGTCAACAATTTTTCTGGGGATGAACATTTTAAAAAGCCTTACATTCCTTATTAGAGTGATTATCTTTTTGAACTGAGAACACCCTAAAGACAGCAGTCAGCTGCTACCATGTCTCATGGCCCATCAGGATGCATTAGTATCAAGTTTTGCCAACACCAGTAGGGTGGCATTATTCATGGTAGAAGGCCTTGTGTATGCCTTTTGCCCATATTTCCTAGCTCACATGAAAATCTGCATTTGGTGTGCTGTTGGAATTGACTGTCGGATGGGGGTGCTTTTAATCTTTTCACTTATTAGACTATGATCTGACAGATCCACTCCACCTGCCTCCTCCCCATACTTTACTCATAGTAAAGGTAGGATGGAAGAGATTTAATGTGGATTTAAGCAGTTTTTAACAGCTTAAACTAGCTGCGATGGGGAACATCTGTTATCATGATCTAGGTAAATTCAGTGTAGTCAGAGGGACTTTTGAATTAGTTGAGGGCCTTTGGCTGGCGATTTACAGTGCATTCCTAAGCAGAATTCCACCCTTTAAAGTCTATTAAGTCAGTGGGCTTGGAAATGTAGAATTTTGCTCTTCCCATAATTACTTTGAATGGTTTTTTTATTATTTTTTTAAAATCCACACATATAGATCTGCAGCTTCATGCCTGCTTTAATCCTGTAGTCTTTCCTTTCTTGGGCACAGTAATTTTGCTTACCGATTGGCCGTTATGGTAGGTTATAATATTTGCTGGTCATGAATATTCACTTTATCACATTACTGTAATCCAGACTGTAATTTGCCACATATGAAAAGTAGCACCAGTCAAGTTATATCACACAAATACAGCCAAGAAAACCCTACTATCAGAACCTTCACTTTTCTGCAAAGAGTTTGTTTTGCTGAGGATTTTGATTTCTGACATAACGTTTGGGAAACCAGCAGCTGCCCAGCAATGTTATTTAGAAATACTTTAGTGAAGGGAAAAACTTCTCTTAGAATTCTTTATACGTTTGACTATAATACTCCATGTCTCCATAGACTAGCTAGTAGACCTGGAATGTGTCTGCCACGGAAGAAATGAAGCCAGGCATTCCTTTAGTGTATCTTCTCATTTTTGATCCAGATATTTCCCATGTAAAAGAAGACAAAGTCAGGCTGATCTGTATGCTTCTTTAATATGGAATTATCAGGGAATTTCTAATGTGCTCCTTTGACATGGAGAAACCATAAATCATCTTCTGAGAATGTATGGAATGAATATTTACAAGACAGTCAATGCGTGCTTATCACTGAGATACCATGCTTTGTGTATTTGCAGTATTACTGTAGCTGCAGAAGAAATAAAAGTTATTTGACAATTTGGGCTTGTTGCCATAGAATTTCATCATCTTGTGCTACAGATCTGGTGTATAATCAGCTGTTTAAAGCCATGTCTGCCACATACTATGCAACTTAATCTGGCTGTTTTCTCTGTACATAAGTGTTGCCCTTTCTGCTTGTCCTTCTTGTTTTATTGGTTGAGCTGCTCTGATGTCACAACTGAAAATTTTTCTAGGGACTTGGCTACCTGTCTCCAGCTTGCAAGGACTTCTATGACTTCAGAAGACCTGAAGCGTAGAGCCCAGCTGACACAGCTCCTTATAATAATCCAGGTGCTCTGTGATATTAAAGGTAAAGGTTCCCTTGCTTGAAAGCCAGTCGAATCCGACTCTAGGGTTGTGGTGCTCATCTCCGTTTCAAAGCCGAAGAGCCAGCGCTGTCCGAAGACGTTTCCGTGGTCATGTGGCCGGCATGACTAAACACCAAGGCGCACGGAACGCTGTTACCTTCCCACCAAAGTGGTCCCTATTTATCTACTTGCATTTTTTTGCTTTCGAACTGCTAGGTTGGCAGGAGCTGGAACTAGAGACGGGAGCTCACTCCGTCTTGCGGCACCCGGGTCTCAAACTGCTGAACTACTGACCTTCCACAGCCTGCAGTTCAGCGTCTTAACCACTTGAGCCACCGCAGCTCCTTCTGTGATATTGCTGGCTTTTAAAACCTAGAGACAGGTGATTTTTTTTTTGATTTTTTTTTTGAAAACCTAGAGACAGGTGATTTTTTTTTTTTAACAAAATATGGAAACCTTTGGATCTAAATGCTGAGCACCATCAGCGATTTTGTCCTGAATAAACTATATTGGCTCCATGGGCTTTCATGTTTGTGGATGCAGATTGGTTCTTGAAATATTTCAAAAGAAGCATTGTGTCATAAAGTCAATGAAGATTTTCTTTTATGCCATATTCATTTTTTACTTGTACGTGTGTAGTGTTTTTTAAACAGCACAACTGTGCACTCATGCATGCAGAGTGATTGGCTTCCAGATTCACAACAATCAATCTGGTCACTTTAAGAAATGCTGTCAGCCTAGTTGTCTCATTTTGAAATGGTGGTGACCTTCTCCAGCTGTCTCTGGAGGAATGGCTCAGGAGAAGAATTCAGCGGGATGGCTCTTGGTGTTTCACACATTTGCTTTGATTGGACAACTACAGCTTTAGGCTGTTTGATTTAGTTGCAACAAGTGCTCTGGGGGATAATTGCACCAGGTCTCTTTACAACAGGTTTTAGGGTTTTTTTTCCAATTGCTCTTTCTGTTCTTTTTTAGCAAATGAGAAGATTGAAGACATCAATGGCTGTCCAAAGAATAAATCTCAAATGGTAAGTACAAAATTTAATGTATGCTATTTTTTCTAATTAAAGTGTACAGTCCTTTGCATTCTTGCCAGGAACAGTGTTTCTATGAACTGCTTCTGAATTAGCCTCTTATGCTACAAATGTAATGGCTAGATACATTTGGAATGTTCATGTGAGTGTATGGAAATTCATATTGTAAATTCAAACGTTGGAATACTGAAAATAAGGGCAAAAGTACACATGCTCTTTGTGTGTGTGGTTATTACATTGATATTTGTTTGCTTTGTATATCTAGTCAAATACCTATAGTCCTTAAAACACTAAGGCATTCTCTTTTAACTTCATATCACACAGTACAAACTATAGATATAGAAAGAATGAGACATTTTCTTTTGAAAATGTTAGATTTCACCACCACCACCACCTTTTTCAGGTCTTGTCTTGACAATTAACAGCACTCCCTTTTTCTCAAATGCCAGCAAAGTTTAATTTAGAGGAAACATTTGGAGAGGCTGATGCTGTGGGAAATACTAGTTGCCATTGGTGAATTAGTTTTCGGGGAATCTGGTTTTTAGCCCTGCATTTGTATAGTGTGGAGGAGTGTCATAGGCCCTTGTTAGTTTTGCCAGCTGGCTAGTTTTCTTCTAACATGACTGGTTTTTCTATTTTCTGGCCCGTTGCAAATGGCCTGTTGTAAACAAAGGGAATAAGAGATTTTTTTAGCAAAAAGAAAAAGAAAAAGTGGTGCCTTTTAAGGTAAAGGAATTTGCTGGGTTGCACCTTTAAGATATTTGTAGTGTTTCCTATGGGATTTCCCCTAGTTCAGTATCACCTGCAATATGGTTATGACCTTGTTAAACATGGTAGATTTCTTCTGGTGGAATATACCTGAGAGAGAACAAGACCAGATGAGACAATATGCACTAGATTGCTCAAAGAACACTTATTTTCTTATAGGGTATTCTAATAACATACATCGTCATAATCCAACTATCAAGAAATTATCAGAAGTTTTACCACTTGTCCAATAATAATCAGTTTCACCAGCTGTCTTATAGAATTCTGATCTCAGTTGACAAGACCAAGATATAAACTAATTGAGCATTAGTTATGTACAAGTAGGAACTTGCAAGGATTTGCCGGGGGTGGGGGAGAAATCTCATCTCT